AGAGAGAGAGAGAGAGAGAGAGAGAGAGAGAGAGAGAGAGAGAGAGGGGCGACTAATGTATACAAATGTGCTTTCTTCTACTTTTACAAGATAGACGAGCAATAAACGTGCAATATCATGGATGGCTGATCGCTGTCAGGTTCGTGTTTTATGCCTCTACGTGAAAATGTACTAGAAAAAGGTGATATGTCTGTGCAGCATATTCATCAAAGACGCAAGATCTTTTAAGAACGAAGTCTTCAACTACGTTCTCCTCTTGCATGTGCAAAACTCACATTCATTTCCTGTTCCTGCCACAGCTGATTCAAAATCACATGACATCCTGACTGCAATCCTTCATTAGCCCGTCTCTTCTCCTCCAGCTGCGCCTCCAGTTCGTCCGACAGCGCCTGTCTCGCAGCTATCATGCCCTCTAGCTGAGCTGCGGCCTCCTTCATCTTGGCCGTCTCTGTCCGCGCTTGGGCCAGTTCCTCTTGAGCTGCGGGGTGGAGTGGGAGGGGGGATTAGGGGTAAAAATCCTGCCTCTCCTTCTATATTTCAGGGCGCGGGCTTCGTTTTAGATCTAGATATTTGTTCGTATGTAATGTGTGCTTGTGTTTCTGCGAGTCGGGTTCGCTACAAGTAGTATGTGTGCCCGTTTACACGAGTGTCTGGGGGTCTGTGGCCATTGGACAAGATTTAAAATCTAGTAACCTTCCCTTGCACATAGTGGCCATAGAACAAGAATTAAAATCTAATAACATTCCCTTCCACATCAGTGATATGTTTGTTACTATTGTTAATGTGTCCAAATTCACTAGAGGAATAATTGACATCTCATGCCTGACTCTGGAGCACTCCGATTCATCTTTTTCTCATTCTAATCAGTTTATATTTAATACTAATATTTACATATAAGAAATTTTCGAATTTCATGCACAATACAGTTATTGATTATTACCTTTCTTAAGAGATTTGGCAAATCACCATACTTCAAACTCCAGGGTGAGTTGCATACGCTACCTGTTTTCTTTAAAGAATGTAGAATAAAGCCAGACACCAATACGCATGCGTGACCCATCGCCGAGTAGATAAAATGCCGAATAATTCTTATATATATACTCCGTAACTGTTCACTCGGCCATTTAAGAAGTATTTAAAAGATATTTGATAATGAAACACGTGTGAAAATGGCATAAGATTATACTGAAGGTATGTTCACTTAAACGTAAATTATCGTTTGATTTTTTTACGTAACTTGTATCTATCATTAAACTCATAAAAAAACAAGAATTCACAATAACGATTATATAAATATTTTTTTCATATATATCTATAGGCAGACAGATGAATTAACACCATTGGAGTTTAGCCTGAGCAATACATTCGAATTTGTGTACTTTTGATAGACAGCAGGCAATCCTTTGAATCAATGTACACATAATCAGGTAGCTCCAATTCCATTTAACCTATTGAACACAAAAATGAAATTGAATTTTTCGGTTGTTAATGGCATGAACATAATTATAAGAGAAAAGAAATTTGGTTTTACCTCTGGTAATTAAAAAATCGAGAAAATTATATAAATAATTATGTATCTACTTATATATGGTGCACTCTCATTGGTTAAGCATAATGACGTCACTAGCTCTGCCCCTTTTTTTTATTCCAACAATTTGTGCATTTTTTTCAATGTAATATCTTTGAAATGATTCAGTAATAACAATGATGAAATAAACATAGGAAAAGAATCAAAGAAGAAAGTATTTGCAATGAATAAAGGTGATGAGGCGGGGCTTAGCTCTGGAGTTGCCAAGTAAGGTTTTCATAAAGATTAGTGGGTCTCCCTATATAATAATTACCTTGCTTCGAGTAAAGCTCCACAAATACGAAAATATCACTTTTTCTTTCGTTTTCCATATAAATGATATTAATTATATATGATAATAAAGATGACGATAACAATTAAAATAGTAATAATGATGATAATAATAATAATGATAATTACTTCTATTATTACCTTTATCATTACCATTACTGTTATCATTATAACTATAGTAATAAAATTATTAAGTATAAACATGAATATTTTTTTCCTAGACCTAGTTTATATCTTCAAACACATCAGGTAGCAAGAAATTCCTGTAGATAACCATCCACTTACGAAATATAGCAGGAAAGGTCGGCATAATTATTGAATAAACACAATATAAACGTATTATTTTTTATGATAATGATTTTTATCACTGCCATTGCTATGATTATTTTCATAATGTATTACCATTTCCCATTTATGATGGTTTACATCACCACTATGTGAATAATAACTTTAACAATAATGACGTAGCATGGCAGTAATGTGGAAGTCAATCAAGTAACTTAGGCAAATATAGTAAAATAGTTTTTTTTAGGACAATTAAGTTAAGCCCATAATTCTAGCATGTGGTGTGGCACTCAGTGCAAGCTCTCTAAAACTCAATTACCTTAATAATCATATTGCTTCTTGTACATGTGAACAGCACCATGGAACATGGGGGGGGGGGGGGCACTGTGTGAGACGGCTGATTTCTTTCCAGCGGTACACTTTGACTCGATGGGTTTTCGTACGCCCGACAGCGTTAATGCTCCGCCCACGCGTCTTGAAATTGCAATTATTTGGTGCAGCAGATAAAGCCTTATTTTTCTAGGATTGGCAACATTGGAGTGTTTATTTCGAGCATCACTCATCACTTTATAAACATTTATAATTAACTTCATTTTCTTTAAACGTTTATGATTTGATGGTAATTTTTACTTAATTGGCACCGGGAATTACTCGATATTTAAAAGGTATGCTTCTAGATTAGGGAATATTCATATAAAAAATGAATCTGCAAGAATAACAAAATTGACTACGATCCTACAAGTTACACTGAACAATTAGCTGTCATGTTCCAAACGTTCCTAGACTCTAGCTGTCAGTCAAGTGAATAGATTTTTCATAGTCTACAAGTTACCATCATCGTTATTGTGCATCACTGCATTTTACGGAAATATTATCTTCCTTCCTTCAGTACATTTAATATAATTCTCCCTCTCCCTATCTCTCTGCCACCTGTAATCTCATGCCAGTTCGGCGAGTTCCTTACAGAGCAAACACTCGTTTCACCGCCTGGGTAGAAAAAGTAGCTGAGAAAACGGCTTTAGTGCGTGGCTGCAAGATTTGTGAAAATGCTCGTGTACACCCGCATTTGTGTCTACATGTTTATATGCACACAATCTTGCACTTCTATCGTACATGTACGGCGACCGAAAAATATGGAGTTGGAATTTTAGGTGGTAGTTATTTTTAGCATGTTTTTTTTTGTTCATTTTTCACTATTTGGAATGAAATCGATTTCTTTTTTCAAGTAAATGTTCGTGTGCTCACATAGTATTAATGCTTACAGCGTACACTCTACAAATAAATGTTTCTCACTTACAAGGTTAAATATTTTTATTATATTATATTATCACGCAGTAAACGTGGTATTAATGTCTGACATTATTTTCACCTTCCTTTCCCATATAACTTACGTACCGATAGCTGTTTCCGAGGCTTAATTAGTGCTGACTTGATGGTGTTCCAGTTAACTGGCGGACGTGAAATGCTTAACCTTAATCAACCGAGATATCATAAGAAATAGCGGCCCGGAACTCTTAAACGACATCATATCACGGCATGTCACATCAAGATGAGGTTTTCTTCATTTGTCGGAATAGACACTACACTACACGTACACACGCATGCATGCACATCTACATTCACACACACACACACATATGTATATATATATAATATATATATATAATATATATATATATATATATATATATATATATATATATATATATATATATATATTGTGAGTGTGTATGCGTGCGAATGCATAATTATCCAATATTTTTCTCCTGAAGGATATAGGTCTAATTGAAATCACGGTATTATTGGAAATGACGCCTAACACCTTGAATACAGAATCTGAGCTTACAAAGTAAGAGAGTACATCATTCTTTGAAAAGGTTCTTCTATATAATTTTCTTCGCATATTGATAATGGTTAATGGTTAAAAGCAAAATAAATGTGCTAGCCATCTAAGGCCATGTAGCACTATAGTAAATGTTAGTGAAGGGTGGTTCAGTTAGTGATTAGTTGTCAAAACTGGGCATAGGAATTGGTGAGTGAATGGGTTAAGGTTGGGTGAGGTAATGTTAAGGAGTTAGATTAGATGAAGGATATGTATACATTTGAGGAAAGAAAACAGGTTGTCGAAGCAGAAAGTGTGGGATTCCGTAAGGATGTCTGATAGGTTGGGAGGTCGATGAAGGGAGGATAGGTGGGGGAAAGCAGAGGTACGGGCTGCTTGAAAACGTGGGCACGACAATAGGATGTGTGGGACTGAAAGGGGAATATTACATAAGGAACATAGGTGGATCGGATTGTGACATCAGATAGGAGTGTGTTAGACGGGTGTGGCCAATGCGTAAGCGGGCGAGAGCCATCTCCCAGCGTCTGTTCCGATGAAATGGAGCTGACCAGGAGGAGATTGATAGTTTTACAGTATGTAATTTATTAGTGCGGAGACTTGACCAAAAAGATTGCCATCGATTATACAAGGTCTTAAAGTGTGGGTAATAATCCGTGGCTGGGATACGTGAGAAGCGTGGTTGGTATGATGTGGACAGAACGGCGTAGCGTGCTAGTGTATCTGCCTGTTCATTGCCGGGGATTTCAACATGGCTGGGCACCCAGCAAAAGTTGATTGTTTTATGGCGTGTGGACAGGTAGAACAACCAGCTCTGGATCTTACAAACAAGGGGGTTGGTGGTGTGTATTGACTTTATGAGAGTTAATGAGTAAACATTTAAAAGATGGAGAGGGGAGTGAGTATATGTGTTTTAGGGCAAAAAGGAGTGCATACAGTTCTGTAGTAAGGACACTAGATTCAGGAGGGAGGGAGTTTTTGAAAGTACGAGTTGGGAAGATTACTGCAAAACCAGCAGCGGAGGTGGATTTGGAGCCATCAGTATATACGTGAATACTGGAGGAATGAGTGGAGAGATGGTCAAGGAAATGGGTGAGAAGGACAGCAGGAGGAATATTTGATTTTGATGTGTCAGGGAAAACAGAAGAGCAAATATGGGGGTAAGGTATAAGCCATGGAGGGACAGAATGGACAGAGAACAGGAGAGGTTGGAGATGGGGGAAAGGGGAATGGGAGAGGAGGGTATCCATGCGAGTGGAGAAAGGAGTAGGTAAACGTGGAGATGAAGCAAAGGTAGGAAGTAGGGATTGTGGGATAGTTAGTTAGAGGGAAAGTTGGTGAAATCGAGCATAACATCGGAGAGAGAAGGGCACGGCGTCGAGATAGAGATGGGATGCCTGATTCAGTGTACAGGCTCTAAACTGGAGAGGAGCGGATGGCGCCAATTGCAAATTGATAACAACAGTAATAAGGAAGGTGTAAAATCCAGTAAATACAGCAATCTTCCGCTCCAGAAATGCAATAAAATGACAAAAAAATCGTTGAGAACGACGGAAAATCGGACGGATTTGTAGCGCATGATGTAATCGAGGGAAATCAAATGAGTCATTTAGATTTGTGCTGCAACGTGACCACAGGCAGTGACGTCAAGCAGAATAGAACCAGTCAGATAGGAATTTGATCATCACGTGACAACAGAAGCTGGGTCTAGAAGAAGGCGATTGAAATTCAAAGCAGTTCCGTCATGGCTAGGCAGTGTGCCGTGGGTGATAACTACTTCGACTTCATTGTAAAATACTGAAATAACGACGCGAGTGGCATTATACCCGCGAAATCACGGTGTACTGCCTGTGGAAGTACTGTGCCCGAACTGTAAGGCACCGTGCCATTCCGGAAAAGACCAGTCCATCACCAGCTCTTCGTCGAACTCCCCGCTGCCCGAAGAGGAACGGCGGAGAGCGATCGCGTTTCCCGCCGACAACGACCTGCAAGACCCCGAGATGATGCTTGAGGTTAGGTCTGGGTAAAACTGCTGCTGGGTCTAGGTTCTCTCTCCTGCCGGAACATTCGAGGTGAAGATTTTGTGGACCAGGTGGGGTTGGAGGCAGCCCCCAAAAGGGGATTTAAGATGACGAAGCCCCCTATATAACCTGGAAGTGGATATATTGTGCTTTCCCGTGAATTACCGATATTTGTCGACCCCGTCCTCCCCAAATACCAAGCATCATATCCTCCCTACTTATCGGGGCCGATATCTAAGCTGTGCTTTGTTTGCGAAGGAAATGAGTGCTAGATTCGTTCGAAACACGACGAAAACTATTAGAAAAAAAAAACATATTATTTATAGGAAAATCGGTGTTAGGCGTCATTCCCGAACTTACTCAAATCACACCTGAAATATTACTTACTACCTGACCAATCAGTTATGCTTCGCCCATCGCAGCACGAGGCCGGCGAAACATACGTGCTGGAATGTTATCTAGCATGTCTGGGTACGAGTTTTATTAGCTGGCTTAATCCTGTTCTAATCAAAACTATGGAAATTCAGCCTAGACATGTATCAAGGTCGTCATAAACTGTATCATATATTCAAACATTATGCAATAACACGGTATATTAAGGAATATATTTTTATTACTCATTTTTTTGTGGGGAATGCCTAGTTATATGCTATGCAAAATACAGCCTTTTATTTTACTTTTACTTGCATAGCGTAAACTAAGCAAATGTTACATATTTAATGACTTACAAAATAAATAAAAGGCTAAACATGGCCGTTTACACGTGTCAACTTCCTGTGCCATGTAATTATTACTTTTTTAAATCCTTTATCATTTTATTACCTTCTCTAGCCCTTCTCATCTGTTGCATTATGGACTCCTCATATTTGCTGATACTATCAAGTATCAAATCCAGCTTGGGTGCTCTCTCATCCATTGCCACACGCTAATGATGCTTGTAGTGGTCCTTTTGAAGAGACGCTTCGATGATGACTAAGGTGATGACTTAGGTGATGACTTGATGACGTATCACTCTACTTTTTTCCCGATCGTACGGTTTATATATGGTGTTGTACGCTTATGACCCGCCCCCTCCCCTCCTCCATTCCTGCTTTTAAAATCTGCTATTGCATTTTTTTTATCGCTTTAGTTTGTTCTTTTTCGCTTATGACGATTAGTATATCCGTGGTTCTGTTGGATAGAAGGAGAGAACAATGCCAGTTAAGAGGAAATAATGGTGTATTATTCTTACTATATTTTGGTACTGTATTTCGACTTAGGATAGCCTGCTTGTCGGTAAAGATAAAATAGATAGTACAACAAAGTAGATATTTGTATTTTTCTGATATTTGTCGAATAAATAACGTAAAATATATTCATTACTAAATATTATTCGAAAGCGGTTGTCCGACTTGGATTATTATATTGTATTAACATGATATTATGAGAGTAGAATGTATAGCCATCTCTGAAGAAAGAGTTTGATGTATGTCGTAATTATATGTTAGGATATTTCAATTACCTCCAAACTTGTCTTGGTACTGAATTATTATCCCAAACTCCAAAAAAACTACAAGGAAATCGAATTTAATGGTATCGTTTACCACTGCTCTTTATCGTGCAGCAGGGGTAACAACCTTACAGTAGATATATACAGTTATATGCATAAACCAAACCGAATATAAGTTGCGTAATATATCTATATATATCTAATGCTTTGAATTTTAACTCAAGGTTTCTTACATTCTATTAAAAAAAACACAAACTTGGAAAAAAAATAAACAATAACATAGGAAAGCAGGTATATATAATAAAAAAAATAGATTCAACACTTCCAAAAAAATAGATTCAACACTTCTCAAGTGAAAATGCATCATACTGCAAAGAAAACAATAGAATAAAGAATACAAAATATGGAAAAAAATAATAAAGAACTAAAGAAAAGATGCTCAATTGACTATATACTATTATACCATACAAAGACTCTCGCTTGACCCCTCGCCAGCACACACATCCTCAGTAGCGACCTGGACACCGAGATGGCAGGTCAGAAATTCGAGTACGATGAGTCAGGCTCGACGTTTTTCTATTTCCTCACCTGCTTCTTGGGACTGATTCTTGTCCCTTGCACGTTCTACTTCTGGCCAGCTGGAGAATCTGAAGGTAAAGATGAGTGGGGTAAGGCCGATAACGAAAAGGAAAAATATGTGTGTCATCGGGTTGTGTAGAGGAGTGTGTTGAAGGAAAATCTGTTGTGTTTTGGTTTAGTGAGATTAATTCCTTCTTTTTTTTTAAGCATTGTCATTAGTTCAGTTATATGTTTCCTCTCTCCGCGTATGTGAGAAAGAGAGGGAGAAGAGAGAAGGAAGAACGAGAAGAAAAGAGGGAAGGCGACGAAGACGGGAAATTAACACAGGAAGAGGCCAAAGTAACGGGACTTGTGGTGTGGAACAGATGTTGTGACAGATCCGGCCTCTTCCACCTGTTCCACCTGTTCCACCTGTTCTCTGCCTTCCTGCTCGTCCTCGTCTTCGAATCCTGTCATGTTATCCACCTTTTTAAAAGTTCTTCTTTTCGTTCTTACGCCTTTACCCTACGCCGTCCTCCTCCCTTACCTCTCATTCTCTCCTCTCTTCCTCTTTTTAGTCTTCTCTCCTCATTCACCTCATTTACACTGTCCACTACTTGTGCTATGCCTTCCAGATAGTCCACCTGTTTTTGTACTATCCACATGTAGGCCTACCTGCTCCACCTCTTCCACACCTAGGCCTACCTGCTCCACCTGTTTCATTTGGATGTGAGGGCAGGGGTGTCACTTAAGAGGGGGTTTGGGGGGTGGTTCAACCCCCCAACTCTTAAAAAAGCCTCTTTTTGCTGGGCAAAATCTAGTTCTGCAGGGCAAATTTTCTCTTGCGGAATCTGCCTCAATAGCAGATAAGTATTCAAGATATATAAATAACTATATGAAGCTAATTGTTGATGATACTTGATTTATAACATTTTCTGGCGCAAAGTGTCTAATGTCTAAGCTATTAAAATTAATTTTTGAACCCTGTTCTATTCGTTATAGATTTCTTGTTTTTTGGTATTGGAAGAAGTTTCTAGTTAAGTTTTTACGTTTTTTGTTGTTTTGTTCATTTATCATTTGTAAATACTGGTTGATGGTCCATTCCGGGCTACATATAAAGAGCTAGTGAGCATTTTCTTTTTCGTGATTTGCAGGGCAAAAATTGTTTTTTCAGGGCAAATTTACCCGTCACCCCCCCAACTCATAACATGAAGTGACGCCCCTGTGTGAGGGAATGCCATTAAAGAGATTGGTAGAAAAACAAGGCAATACCATATGTAAATTGACTTTCTTTGATTTGCATAACAGTTTCTTTTCCTGCTTGTGGAGAATGATCCAGGAAAGATTGTAGTGTATATATGCAGGTGAAATAATTTAGTTTTTTTCATTCTCTTTTGATATGAGTTGCATGCACCTTCATTTTCTGTTTCACTCTATGAGGGCACATGTGTCTTAAGGAGATCTCAGATCAGTTTGCCAAATATGTTTTTATTAAATGCTACGTAGATGAAACTTTCGGTATTTGTTACTGAGAGCGATGCACCCTCCAAAGAGGAAGTCCGAAACAAGGGTATCATGCAAACCCTAAAATCCAAACGTATCCTTTCCTACCTTCTATTTATTCCTTAGACGGGGAATAACTTCTGCTAACTTACAGAAAACACGACATTAAGAGCTCTGGCCATGCAAGGGTGTTGCAGACTTTGTCTCTGAATGGCGATATGTAATGAATATTTTCATTATTTTTCAGTAAATATGAGGCCAGAGCAGCTGTACCTGTGTTGTTTATGTTGTTTCTTAGTCTCTCTAAGATGGCAGTGTCCATTTCCCTTTATCTCTGTGCATCACTCTCTGTAACATTAAATAAACTTTCATTTATATCAGAGGCACAGATA